GGAGTGATATTTCACGATCTACAAAATGAAACTCGAGCTGGGGAAGTTGTCCATGAACAGACGGTAAAATAAAAATCGTGTTGCATGATACGAGAGAAATTTTTTTTAAACGGGAAATATTTTGTACAAGTTCGTTATTTTTACAGCACTGCGGAATGTATTGCACAGAAACAAAGCAATGAATAATGAATTAATCAAAGGGATAATTGAAAAGTTACAATTGATTCAATATATTCCGGATGACCTAGCCGCACTACGCAGCGACCGTTCCCGCTTAGAAAAAACAATATAATAAATAAAAAATATATAAATAACGGCAATTGTGAAAAATTATAATGATATTAATAAAGATATTAATGGTAATGATACCCACTTCAGCTTTGCGGAAAAAGGCAAACGCAGAGGTGCCAATCTCTTAAACATTAATCTCCCTGTTTAAGCATCTGTTCATTTATGCATTAAAACAGACCATGTCCATATACGTGTCAGCACACACACACACACACACACACACACACACACACACACACACACACACACACACACACACACACACACACACACACACACACACACACACACTCGCACTCATACATTCTGATGTTTACAAATCATTTAAATTCATTTTGATGAAAGTGGCGATAATGAGGATGACTTTACGTGTGAGAAAAAATGTGACGAAAAGGGAAACATACGTTATAATGACTATTTATAAAACGCCGTTAAATCGACATATCCCGTTATATTTGACTTCTTTGGAAGAAAATGCAGGAAAAATACATTATTATTATTATTCCCAGAGAAGAAATGTAAGAAAGAGAAAGAAATGCGAATGATGGATTGTATAGAAAATAAATGATTGCAAAACAGACAATTTCCGAAGAAAAATATGGAAAACGGTCGTAGAGAAAATGAAAGAGAAGAGTGATTGAGCATCAAGTTGAAATCTTCGGGTCCAAGAAAACTGGGAGAAGGAATTTTCTGATGATAAGAAATATGGATTTAGGAGACCTCTATAAGGCTTCTACAAGATTAATTTCTTACGAGCGAGGACACACAAATATTTGCTGAAAAGGGAGGTTACAATTCTTGCAAAGTATGCTAGTAGTATGATGATACTAACATAGAAATAAAAATAATGTGTATAGGTGAATGATGAGATATGGAGATAAATGTTCAAGGAATAAAAATTGATTAAAAACAATGGAATAAAAACAATTAAAACATACCTGATTCATTGCAAAACCAGGGGAATGAAAATAATGTGTATGGGTGAATGATGAGACATAGAGATAATAGGTGTTAAGGTATAAAAATTAATTAAAAGAAATGGAATAAAGACAGAATGGAATTAAAACATACGTGGTTCAATGTAAAATCAGGGAAAGGAAAATAATGTGTATAGGTTAATGATGAGACATGGAGGTAATAGATGTTAAGGAATAAAAAATGATTAAATAAAGTAACAGAATGAAGAGAGAATTAAATCAAAACATACGTGATTCATTGTAAAACCATTGAAATGAAAATAATGCGTATGGGTGAATGATGAGATATGGAAGTAATAGATGTTAAGGAATAAAAAAAAAATGATTAAAAAAAGCAATGGATTAAAGACAGAATGCAATTAAAACATACGTGATTCATTGCAAAACCAGAGGAATGTTTCTGCACGTGAAAAGAATTAATGAAGACTGCCAACATATCTGATGCGTTAATAAAAATAAAAAATACTAAAATTATTGAAATAACAAGGACTCCTGCATGAAATTTGTCCCATTTAAAGGCTGGATAAAACCTTTGTATGATGGAGGGTTTAGTATACTCAGAGGCAAGTTTCCAGGATTATATTATTTATGATTGACTGGGCTACGTGGCTGGACTGAAGCGAACGAAGTATATGTCGGGCAAGCGTAATGCGAAAATAAGAAATAATAATAAAACAGTCTAAACTTTTCGATTGCTCAGAATAACAATATTCAGGCTACAAATGGATAATAAATATTCTCGTGATTATGCTCATGGTATGTGTGCAAGATGCATTTGAATGTTAATTTTGATCATCTTTTTAACCCATGGGGGAAGCATATCTTTTGTAGAGAATATTTTTGCTGCAGGATATTTTACAATGCAAATATCTTTATTCTCGGTATCTATTGATATTGTGTATATGAGATCAATAAAAGAAATAAAAGAGGATATAAAAGTGTGAATAAAAATATATAAAGTATAATTTTACAACAAATTAGATTAATGAATGAAATAGATGAAGATATAAAAGAAAATATGAATAAACTTAAAGTAGATCAGTAATAATAACAATGGTAATAAAAAGGCGAGAACTCAAAAAAAAGAAAAGAAAAAAAAAGACAGAAAAGACATAGAAAAAAAGAACCAGACAAAAGCCTGGGAAGGGACCCTACGTGAAGTTAAATACTCAGTCCTTCCACATATGCAGTCAGTTCTGCCCCCACAGCTGCTGGCTTAGCTCGAGCACGACATGAAGATTCGCATTGCCGCGCCCAAGGACTTCAGCGGCGACCTGCACTTGCGTGGTTCCCTAGACGGCGTCAGTGGCGCCATGCTCATCATATCCCCGCTCGCAGATGCCGCCAAATAGCGCTTCCGCATTGAAGAGGAAGCCCGGACCAGGCGCATAGAGAAGCAGTAGATATATCCAGTTTAGGAAGCCCGAGCCAGGCGCAAAGAGAAGCAGTAGCCAGAGCAGTTTAGGAGCCCGAGCCAGGCTCAAGGAGAAGCAGTAGACATAGCCAGTTTAGGAAGCCCGGGCCAGGCGCAAGGAGAAGCAGTAGCCAGAGCCAGTTTAGGAAGCCCGAGCCAGGCTCAAGGAGAAGCAGTACACATAGCCAGTTTAGGAAGCCCGGGCCAGGCGCAAGGAGAAGCAGTAGCCAGAGCCAGTTTAGGAAGCCCGGGCCAGGCGCAAGGAGAAGCAGTAGCCAGAGCCAGTTTAGGAAGCCCGGGCCAGGCACAAGGAGAAGCAGTAGCCAGAGCCAGTTTAGGAAGCCCGGGCCAGGCGCAAGGAGAAGCAGTAGCCAGAGCCAGTTTAGGAAGCCCGAGCCAGGCGCAAAGAGAAGCAGTACACAGCCAGTTTAGGAAGCCCGGGCCAGGCGCAAGGAGAAGCAGTAGCCAGAGCCAGTTTAGGAAAGCCCGGCCAGGCGCAAGGAGAAGCAGTAGCTAGCCAGTTTAGGAAGCCCGGGCCAGGCGCAAGGAGAAGCAGTAGCCAGAGCCAGTTTAGGAAGCCCGGGCCAGGCGCAAGGAGAAGCAGTAGCCAGAGCCAGTTTAGGAAGCCCGGGCCAGGCGCAAAGAGAAGTAGAGCATAGCCAGTTTAGGAAGCGGGCCAGGCGCAAGGAGAAGCAGTAGCCAGAGCCAGTTTTGGAAGCCTGGGCCAGGCACAAGGAGAAGCAGTAGCCAGAGCCAGTTAGGAAGCCCGGGCCAGGCGCAAGGAGAAAGCAGTAGCCAGAGCCAGTTTAGGAAGCCCGGCAAGGCGCAGGAGAAGCAGTAGCAGAGCCAGTTTAGGAAGCCCGGGCCAGGCGCAAGGAGAAGCAGTAGTTTAGGAAGCCAGCCAGGCGCAAGGAGAAGCAGTAGCCAGAGCCAGTTTAGGAAGCCCGGCCAGGCGCAAGGAGAAGCAGTACCAGAGCCAGTTTAGGAAGCCCGGGCCAGGCGCAAGGAGAAGCAGTAGCCAGAGCCAGTTTAGGAAAGCCCGGGCCAGGCGCAAAGGAGAAGCAGTAGCCAGAGCCAGTTTAAGGAAGCCCGGGCCAGGCGCAAGGAAAAGCAGTAGCCAGAGCCAGTTTAGGAAGCCCGGCCAGGCGCAAGGAGAAGCAGTAGCCCAGAGCCAGTTAAAGCCGGGCCAGCCCGGCCCGAGCAGCGCAAGAGCCCAGTTTAGGAAGCCCGAGCCAGGCGCAAAGAGAAGCAGTACACATATCCAGTTTAGGAAGCCCGAGCCAGGCGCAAAGAGAAGCAGTAGCCAGAGCCAGTTTAGGGAAGCCCGAGCCAGGCCAAGAGAAGCAGTAGCCAGTTTATAGAGCCAGTTTAGGAAGCCAGGCGCAAGCAGTAGCCAGAGCCAGTTTAGGAAGCCCGGCCAGGCGCAAGGAGAAGCAGTAGCAGAGCCAGTTTAGGAAGCCCGAGCCAGGCGCAAGGAGAAGCAGTAGCCAGAGCCAGTTTTAGGAAGCCCGGGCCAGGCGCAAGGAGAAGCAGTAGCCAGAGCCAGTTTAGGAAGCCCGGCCAGGCGCAAGGAGAAGCAGTAGCCAGAGCCAGTTTAGGAAGCCCGGCCAGGCGCAAGGAGAAGCAGTAGCCAGAGCCAGTTTAGGAAGCCCGGGCCAGGCGCAAGGAGAAGCAGTAGTTAAGCCCGGTTTAGTTTAGGAAGCCCGAGCCAGGCGCAAAGAGCAGTGCCAGTAGCCAGAGCCAGTTTAGGAAGCCGAGCCAGGCAAGGAGAAGCCATGGCAGTTTAGGAAGCCGAGCCAGGCACAGGAGAAGGTAGCCAGAGCCAGTTTAGGAAGCCCGGGCCAGGCGCAAGGAGAAGCAGTAGCCAGAGCCAGTTTAGGAAGCCCGGGCCAGGCGCAAGGAGAAGCAGTAGCCAGAGCCAGTTTAGGAAGCCCGGGCCACGCACAAGCCGGGCCAGTAGAGCAGAGGAAGCCAGCGCAAGGAGAAGCAGTAGCCAGAGCCAGTTTAGGAAGCCCGATAGACAGTTAAGGAAGCCGGGCCAGGCGCAAAGAGAAGCAGTACACAGCCAGTTTAGGAAGCCCGGGCCAGGCGCAAGGAGAAGCAGTAACCAGAGCCAGTTAAAGCTGACTTAAAATGGCCCATCTAGCATACTGTAGAGATCCCCAAGAAACGTCATAGATTCCTTGTGAGGAAAGCCAGAGAAATTACAGCAACCTTGGCCAGGGCGCGGCAGAACCCGAGGACGACGGCGACCAAGACGATGAGGGCGAGCAGTGCGCCGAGCTCGACCGAAGTCTATACCTAGGCTTCTGCTTTCT